CCAAAATTTGAAGAGAGCAGTGGTGTAACCCTAGAAACTGGAATGCACGTAGTGAGCACAGCAGTTCTAGTAAACCATGGAAACCTTCCAAAAAGACGTGGCGCGGCACCCTTCCGAAAGCCGGTGTAGTGGAGAGGGAGCAAAGGATCACGTAAGGCGGCTAGTGACCAAACTGAGCGCACCGCAAAGTTAGGCTGCGTTCATGCTTTGCGGCAGTGTCCACCAGCGACCAGCAGCGCTTCGAGGGCTAGGGAAACATAGTGTCAATCTAGCGTCTGCCAAAGTCTATTAGTGTCTAAAAGCGACCACCAGCAGACTGCTACTAGGGAGTATGGCTCGATAGGAGGGTGCCAGCTGTCTGCTGCCCTCCTATCTCCCCATACTCTACCAGCTGTCTGCTACCCTCCTATCTCCCCATACTCTACCAGCTGTCTGCTACCCTCCTATCTCCCCATACTCTACCAGCTGTCTGCTACCCTCTATCGCCTCATACTCTCCATCTGGACGCTGGTGGCAGAAACTAGATCGATATCTATACTTTCCTTGTCGCGGACGCTGCTGGACACACGAGCTGGTGGACCCTACCGGTCGCCGGTTAATGCAGCCGCAAAGTATGAACGCAGCCTTATAGAGGAGCTGTACCCAGTGCACTACTAACTGGTGGATGTCACCTCAAACCGGTAGGAGTTCACTGGCCGTTGCGACACCTGTTAGTTTGTTAGGTACCCCTCATGGCTACTGTATTTCAACGATTCTGAGTTAGGTCTGGAATCAGAATGTGGTGCAGTGCTATTCTAGCCTTGCCTCAAACTTTGGAGATCCTTTCAAAACTCCCTAGTACCATGAGCATTTCGTTCATGATGTTATGGTAGTGACGTTGAGCAAAAGCTGGACTACACACCATGGATGTTTTCCGTGTTATACTCTTGCTCATAATCCCGTGTGTAATTGCGATTTTCGTCTTGTTCCCAACAGCTCTCATCTGAGGAGGCATCAGGAGATGGGATAGAGTAGTCTGAAATACTAACAAAAGGATCGCATGCTCGTTTCAGGTGTTGCAAAATGCAAAATGAACAATGATGGCATAGAAACATTAGTCATATTGACCAGTGGCATAAAAATATGCGTCTATTTATGAAGCGAAACAGCTCGGAGATCTGGCACCGATCCTGTTCTTGCGCTTAGGCTGCGTTCATACTTTGCGGCAGCGTCCACCGGCGTCTATCAGCGTCCACCAGCGACCACTAGCATTTTGAGCGTGCTGCAGCATCAGCGACTAGGAAATTATAATATCGATCCAGCGTCTGCCAGCGTCCATCAACGTCTGCCAGCGTCCACCTGCGTCTGCCAGCGCCTCGAAGGGCTAGGGAAGCATAGATATCGATCTAGCGTCTGCCAGGGTGCACCAGCGGGCAGGAGTAGAGAGTTCGGGGAAGTAGGAAGGTAGCAAACCTGGATTAGGTGACGTAAAATTGCGGCATTTACAACCGCACCGCACGGGACTAATGTGGAGCCTTCTGGTATCCCATGTCTTGTTCTATGGAGGCCAGTTCAGGGAGCCCATAGCGAGTGAGTATGATGTTATTCCTGGCACGCACCGGCTTCGAAGAATGAAAGTACTAATCGTGTCCGCAGCACCGGTACTAATCGTTCATCCTGGAAGTAACAGCTAAAAATGTCCCAGGAGAGCTATTGCTCCAAAAACAAGTCCTTCGCTACTGCTCAAAGTTCTCACTATCCATACACCTCGCCTTCTTCCATTCCAAATATTTATCCGGCTTTGATTGGAACACTTCAAGAATTTCACAGTAAATTTCCGTAAAAAAGCAGTTTTTGAATTGGAACATTCTTAATTACAGGTGCGACTAGCTAAATGTGCTGGTGCCATTAGTGAAGTGTGGGGCAGGCTAAGAGTTCCCTGTCTTGAACACCTACGCTTGAAAGATCCCTGCAGGCTGTTTCTAGGCAAGGAAGGGACTATTTGAAGATGCTTGTAGGATGTACTAGTCTTTTTTTCTTGAAAAATAACTCTGTAAACCGTCCTTTTTCATTCTCGTAATTGGCCATTAGCCACCAGCCACGCACTGTCAAAATGCTGCGAGCAAAAAGGCACAGTCACTTGCGCTGAAAATCACTGTCATATCCTGATCAGGATACCAATAACCCTTGTAGGTAAGCTCTGAATTTAGGTGAAAAAAGAAGCCAGCGGCTCCAAGTGGCGCTGGCGCCAAAAACGGATGTCATATTCGTGATCAGGACATCATTTGATCCCTGCAGGTGGAGTTTAAACGATTTTCTTTAGTTCTTGGTGGTAGTAGTAGTTGAAATAGTGCCGAAACTCTGCTTGTACCTCTGAAATGAAAGTTAGAAAAAGGGGTGGGGGAAAAGTGTTTACTGGAGCGCAGGCCTCAAGAGTGTACATATCTTTGTTTCCTCCGGTCACGTCAGGAGGCCACTGTTATTCTGTTAAATGACACCATCAATGCTCTGTGCCTTCCCTTTAATATATAGCCTTCATGATCACATATACCATCCCCATATTCATGTGAAAGCTCCCACTATTTTATACAACATGAAACAATCAACAGGCAGATGGATAAGAAATGGCTTGCTTCAAACACTGATTTTCAACCCCTCACGAACTCATAAGGCAGTTGGCACGATGGTTTCCTACTCGGCCTAAAATGCTAGTAGGGCGCTATATAGTGGGGAAATGGCGAAAGAACGGAGTGAAACGGTCAAAATCCTGCGAAGAAAAAGCCTCCGTTCTCAGTGACTTGAAAATCGATTTCGGACGAGTTTCCCGTAGGCATCTTGCCAATCACCGAAGATACGGCTGCATATACCCATATATGCATGCAGCATCACGGCCGCTTCATACCAATCCCTTCGCTTCATAATTTGCTTAGCAAATGAATGAATACGAGCGTCAGGAACGGTCGTCCATTTGTGGGCGGGCGTTTGGGTCGTAATGTTGTGGCTTGATAGGGCCCTTATAAGGGCACCTTCCTCGGGGAAACCGCTATGCAGCGCCTGCTCCAGGGTCGCGGAATTCCGTCCTGCCAGGTATTGATCCTAGTCGTCTTGGGGATTTATCGTGCCAACTGCCTTTAAATAACAAGTAAAAGCCCAGTACCGTCGCATTACTGTACAAACAATGAAAGCCTTCTTGAAACGAAAGATGGGTCCACTTGCTGAATATGTCAGGATCCGAAAAGACTTCTGGTTTCTTGCGGTTGGATGGGCACATGTGATCAGAATTCAGGATGGTGTTCAGAACGAGAGACTACTACTCCTGAAAGGCTTGATAAAGTGGAACTCTCACTTACCGCTTGGCACTGCTGTTCGAGGAGGAGGAGGTAGTGGGGCGCCCGTTTTAATGGCATAGTCGACTTTTTTAGATGAAGAAACTGCGTCAATGAATGTCTCGTGTCGTTCTTTCCAATTGGTTTGCGGGCGCGGGAATACTCCACCGAGCTGAAAATGTCAAGGAATATTTGCAGACTTTTTTGTAATGGAAGCCAGCGACTTGATAAACTAAACATCCTGAAGTTGAGACTGAGGTCTACGTAGAGTGAGGACTTTTTTGGTCTTTCACAAGAGAGCTGAGAAGCTGCATAGCACAAAACGGTGTGGCTCACATTAGTCCTCATGGGTATCTATTGTTAATCCTGAGTCGCAGCACTGCCGCAAACTTGCAAAGTACAGGGCT